CCCCAAGGTGACCTTGCGTCATACTCCTTTCTTTTTCGATTCCGCTGTCCAGGGAAAATCGCCAGCTGTGACAATGAGAAAACACACGAGAAACCACCAAGCACACAACAACACAAACCAGGGAGGGAGGGTGGGAAAATTCAGACAGGGTGTATGACAAGCTCCTTCTGACTGGTAAGTCTCCTCCCCTGCTCCCCCATTATAAGTCCTTCCACCTTTGCAACATTGTTGCTCCCATTATTCCATTCCACTATCCTGGGCAGCAGTCATGCTCCCCCTTCCCTATTTGTCCAGGGGGACACTTGACTGCTAACCCATATACCATCCCACCATTGCCCCAATAATATACTGGACACCTTTTAAAGTGGATAAGGGCAACGGCCACAGCTTTATTAAACAGTAAAAATTCTTAATTCTTGTCAGCTGTTGGGTGAGGGCCCAACAGACAGTTCTCCATCCTTATTCTCCAAGAGCCCAACACAGCCATCACTAGCCATCAGCCTTGCTCTGACTGTTGTCTCCCCAAGGCGACCTTGCATCACACTCCTTTCTTTTTTAATTCCGCTGTCCAGGGAAAACCGCTACGGTGAAGCCGTCCTGCCGCAGCCTGATCTGCGCCGGCTTCACGCCCCCCTGCAGACAGCGCCAAATCAATGCCCGATTGCAACCCCACATTAAATATGTCCAGCCCAATCGGGGTTAAGTGGACCCCATCCTTACGCATCACGTTCGAATTATCACCTTCCAACTCCAAGTGCTGCACAACTATTCCGCCCAGACTACGCACAAAGCGCGAAATAGCCGCATTAATCTTTCGCCTACAGCGTTCAATTGCCTTCCCATAGCCTCCTTCCTTTCACACTGGGCGGGGGACTATCTCTGACCAGATCAGTGTGAAGTCACGAAAGAGCGCAAAACAGCGCGCTATATCATGACGTATGGCGTAAATGAGATCCACCGACCTCCGTCGGCCAACATCATTGCAATATTAACATCACTGGCCCAGAGACGCAGCGACTCAGCTGCTCACACTCCCTGTACACTTGATCCCAACGTAACCCCCTCAACCCCGCCAACATACCCTAACTTCCTGGAACGGGAACCCCAAATTACAGCCATGTGCTCTTTCTTCCGCCCTCCTAACAGCCCAGTACACATATGAATGCCCGAGGATCCACACATAACGAGGAACGTGGCCTACTAAACAAAGAACAAAAGTTAACCATGCACTTATCCAGAGACATACCATCACAGCAAATGAGGCCGCACGTAAAGCTGGAACCGTCCCGATTCCCAGCACCCTAGGCGCATAAGTGCCTCCACCGGGAGACCCATTTCGCTGGCCTGCGTTGCCGCCCCAATTCGAAATGAATGAGTGGAATATAGCCTGGGGTCCCCCCCCCAACCTGCTAATGCACCTCCGCAGTATGCTAGCAAATTGGAAACGGCTCAGTGATGACCCATTCTGATGAACCAGCAGTGAGCCATCGGCTCCACCCCTGGCGCCTAGATATGCCTGCAACAAGTTCCCCGGACAAAACACACCCCTGGTAAAGCCGATACGTACCCGCGCTCCTGTACCCTCTTGATCCGTCTTGGACCGCCGAATCATCAGTATCACACACTCCGGTGCCACTGAGATGTCGGAAAGCCTCAATGCTGTCACTGAACTCGCCCTAGGGGCCACAAGCTCTCCGATCCGCAGCGCCCCAAAGAAACACAGTGAAAATGCCACCCGAAATAAAAGTACTTCGTAAGTAGAGCTACACACCTCTGGAAGAACTTCCAACAGCTGCAGAAGCATGGCCCCCGAGATAGGTCGCCTTTGGCGGGGATGCGGTGCTTTTTCCACCCTTTTAAAATGCGGGAAATGCAGAATGCCTTGGTGACATCCGACCAACCTAAAAAACGAAACAGAAAGGAGAGAGCAGCCAAGGATTGTTCGGCCGCCGTGGCCGACCTACCTGCGGAACACAACGACTCCAATAAAGACAGCGTAATGGTCAATCTTCCGGAGTCTGATGCCACATCCCCACACCTACTCATAGCCCATCAGCGACCCCATACTGCAGTGTAAGCCTTCCATGAAGACTCCGACAAGGACCCCCGGATTAATCGTCTCAGATGTCCGAAACCAGATCCCACAAGTAGGGCGGGCACGGGATTCCCGTCTGCGCTGCCTCCGGAACCGCCTCCTGAAACGGTCCCACTGCAACCGAGAAAGAGAGTCAGCAATGACATTGTCCACCCCCGGCACATGCCTGGCTACCAACCACAAATTACATTGAAGACTGAGTAGCACTAGACGCCTGAGCAATGCCAAAACCGGATATGGAACGATTGATCACCTGGACCACACTCATGTTGTCCGTGTGAACAATCACCTTCCTGTGCGCCAAGTCCGCACCCCACAATTCGACCGCGACCACAATGGGGAACAACTCTAAAAACACCAGATTACCCATCAGCTCCGAGCCCCGCCAGTTGGCAGGCCACTCGACAGCGCATCACTGTCCCTGAAAATAGGCCCCAAAACCTATGGACCCTGACGCGTCGGTAAACAGGTCCAGCGCGCCGTTAGACACCTCCGAATGCAACCAACACGAATGACCATTATACTCACCCAAGAAGGCACTCCACACCTGCAAGTCCGACCGTAACCGACTTGTAATGCGTATAAAGTGAAATGGTTGCTTCACCCCTACCGTGGCCAGGGACAGGCGACGACAGAATGCTCGGCCCATGGACAGAACCCGACAAGCGAAGTTCAGGTGACCCAAAAGCGATTGCATCTGCTGCAACTGCACCTTTTTGGAGCCCCTAACTCGGTCGATAAGGCAGAGCAACTGACCCAGCTTCTCCTCCGGTAATCGAAAGACCATCTCGCTAGAATCGATCTCGATCCCCAGATAAGCTAACCTAACCACCGGCCCAAACGTCTTACTTACCGCTACCGGGACGCCAAACTCTGACGTGATCTGCCGGAACGCCCTCAACAACAACGCACAGTCGTCGGAATCCCCCGAACAGACAAACAAAAAATCGGCCAGATAGTTGGTCAAGGAAGACAAACCGACACCTGGGACACCACCCATTCCAAGAATGTCGAAAACATCTCAAAATATGAGCAGGAAATGGCACAACCCATGGGAAAACACGTGTAATAAAAATACAACCCATTAAATTGACAACCCAGTAGGTGGAAACAGTCCGGGTGGACCGGAAGCAAACGAAAGGCCGACTCGATGTCCGATTTTGCGAGCAATGCCCCTAACACCGCCTCTCTTACCAACTCCAGAGCCCTGTCAAACGAGGCATAACGCACTCTCGACACCTCCTTATCAATATCATCATTCACCGACCCGCCGGATGGGTAGGACAGGTGGTGAATGAGGCGAAAGGCCCCAGGCTCTTTTTTAGGCACTAAGCCCAGGGGCGACACTCGCAGGTTAGGAAACGGGGGCTCAGAAAATGGTCCTGCCATGCAGCCCAGGGATACCTCCTTGTCCAACTTCTGCTCAAGAATATTCTCCTTACCCGAAACCGAGCGTAAATTAACCGCAAACGACGGCGCCTCAGAATAAACAAACGGAATCCAAAAACAAAACAAGAACCCATCCAACAGAATACTAGCTTCCCGTCGCTTAGGATACCGGTCTAGCCACGGGCGCATCCTTTCGACGCTCACTGGTGTCCTCCTGTCTAGGAACGTCATCCTTGGCGCGCACCCCTGGCTTACCCTTTTTGAAACAGCGCACGGCGGGATGTGCTGCGCCGCAGTGCCAACACTCATGCCGGAACCTGCATGAACTGTACCACCTGCAGTGGCTCTCATTAAAGAGCCAACAGACTCCCCTACGCTGTCCTGCCGGCGCATTAGCCAGCGTGCCGGCCGCCCCTGGAAAGGGGGATGGCCGACAGGGCGTCATCAACAGCAGCCACAAGCTGCCATCCTGCACCCCGAAGTCCATGCCCTCGCTGACCGCCATCTTCTGCCGAAACTGATGGTCGTACCGAAACCAGCATTGCCCCCCATAAATCTTGTACGCCCCCCAAATGAGATCCAAATAACCAAACAAGGCGGGAGCCTTGTCTGGAAGACTACCCATTAAGATACTTGCAAAAACCGAAAAACCTTGAAGCCAATTCCCAAAAGTCCGGGGAAGCTGCTTACCTCTATCACCGTCACCCATGTCACCTCGCCGCGGTCTATCCACCGACTCCCTATCTGGAGGAACCAGAGCCAGCAAGTCGACATACTCATCCCAGAGTATTTTGTCCCTGACGTCTGCTGCCACATGCAGACCCAGCTCACAGCCCGGCAACCGTGGGCGAAGGATACCCACTACCCTGTCCCTGACGGGAGGCCGCGACGCAGCTCCCAGCATACCTAGCGCAGTAGAAGAGGGACAGCTCCAGGCAACCTCTCTAACACTGACCTCAACAACCTGACTAAATCCCCTTGTCCCTGGGAACCCTGAACTAAGCCATTAACACCCCTCTCATCCTCAGTCAGCGCATCCCAAGCACTAGAGCAATACTCACGTGCTGATGCTGCTGGAGGCAAACCGGACCCGCTGGGGAACACTGCACCCTCCTCCTCAGATCCGGAGTGCAGGCTGAATACCTCTTCTTCCCGCTCCTGGGACCCGCGGGCGCCAGATGCGCTCATCTGCGGTCCTTTTCGGGCCGCCCTGGGGTGCTCCTGCACCGTATTGGAGCTTCTGGCACCGACCTGGGCTGTCCGCACGCTCGAGAGCCGTGAAGTACCGTGTGTCCTGACATCCGGCGTTGCACGCACGCAGTATTGCGTGGGCGATGATGTCTCACCTGCCCGCGCCGGAAGAGAAGCGCGTGGGCTGCGCGACGTTCCGGTCGGGTTCTCGTCATCCTGATCGCCGCCATCTTGGGACCCGGAATCAGCCATCACCTGTCCGGCCCTCCTCCGCCTCCCCGCTCTTCGCGCTGGTAAGCGCCCGGAATCACCGCTCCCGACCTCGGACCGCTGGGCACTCCTACCTCCGCTTCGCTGCACAGGACTCGGGGACAGATGCGACGGAGGCCTCGATCTCCTGGCCCTCCATCCGCTCAGCGATGTCTCCGCTCCCTCGCGCCGATCTTGCCGTCCTCCTGCAGCCTGCTGAACATGAGCCAGCACCTGGTCCAACGATCCGTGCGACTCCTGGTAAGCTGCCATCATTCTCACCAGTTCCTCCAGAGATGGGGTGGCCATATTAAAAAGTGTTCTCCTTGTCCTTTACTCCCCAGGGACACCTAGCCGGTATGATGATATATTTATTTTGGTTTTGCAGGCCCAGGTACTGCGCAACAGCCAAGGAGAAATGTCATTCAGGGAGAAAAAATTCAGACAGGGTGTATGACAAGCTCCTTCTGACTGGTAAGTCTCCTCTCCTGCTCCCCCATCATAAGTCCTTCCACCTTTGCAACATTGTTGCTCCCATTATTCCATCCCACTATCCTGGGCAGCAGTCATGCTCCCCCTTCCCTATTTGTCCAGGGGGACACTTTAATAATTGAGTATAACAGAATACCGGTAGTGGGCCAAGGCCTCTACTTTAACTCTTTCCCATTAATGTAAGTGACACTGAAGGGTGGATTTTATCACCCAAATTAAAAATATTATCCAGATAAAGTATTGCAAATTAATCAAAGCAAAAATTTGGGATATTTGTGTGGAAGAATACACAGAAAATTTAAATGTTTACATTGGACTTGCAGGTTTCCAACAACCAGGCTATTACAATTCAGAGCACTGTACAACCTTCTTTCCAATGCAGCAGCAGAAGGGACTTATTTATTAAGGGAGATTCTTGTTCAATGTCCTCCCTAGGGCTCTTATATAGCCTATGCAGTTATGAAAATAGTGCTGTTTGTGGCAGGGAGAGTTAGTAGATGAAAATGCATTTAAAAAGTCCCCATTGAAACGTCTCATTCTAAATGCCAAGTGTCATCTGAGTAAGGCTGAAATGTCACTTATTCATAGGAGCACATCATCATTACAATGCAAAAGCTGGGTCATTTATAACAACACTGCTTGGATAAGGTTAAGAATGGAGAAGTTAGGGGGTTAAACATGAGAAAGCCTTTATCATTAGGGAACTTACAAGGTTATTCACTAAAAAAATTAATTGAAACCGAATTCTAGTTCAGTGATGACATCTGTAACAATCGCTCAAATGTATATGGAGTCCAAATAAAAAATGGTGCTTTCAGCATTTGATTTACAGGATTCACAAAGCATATTTTAAACTGAATAGGGACCGAATGGATTCACAGCAGGATACAGTTTCGCTAATTTTTGTTCACTTGCTTTTATGAAAGCGAACGATACTTTTGAACGCCATTTGCCCACTGGCAGCACTAGTAATCCATCCGATCAGAGCACTTTTACAGCCAAGTTTCACATCTCTCGAGACTTGTATATCAATGCGCTTTGATTGGTTGGCTTACTAATCAGCGCTCTCTTTCAGATATTGCATAGCATTGGACATTTTACACTTCTATTTATGATATGAGAGCTCACTCTGTAGTGAGCATTTGCAGGGCGGAGATGGATTAATTTTATTATGTTGCATTTCTACATTTTTGCAAACCATTTTTTTTCTTTTTCATTTGCTGCACCTGGATTAATGGATTTTTATTTTTCCTTTTTGGGGGTTCAAACTTAGAAAAAAGAAGACTTCTGATGGCAATTATAATTTTTTACTTAACAGGTATTATTTTTATTTAACAGTTAGGTCCTCCCCCCTGAATATTAATATTAGATCCCCCACCCCCAGCCAATGGATGAAGACTGGAACTTTAGGTTCTCCCCCGAATATTATTATTAGGGACCCCCACCTACCGCTTATATTATAATCGTCACCACACTCTGACAATGTGTGGGGGCTGTTGTGGAAATAAGAATGTCCCCCCATTAATTTTATAAATTAGCTGCACCTGTTCCAATGGGTGAGTATGTTCACCCTGTTATTTCATAGGTCTTATCTCCATTGCTGCCCAGTCACTAATTTTAACAAGTTAATAGATATGCCCCCTCTTGCTGCCACATTGAAAGTGAAGGTAAAGTGATGTTCAAAACCTCCATTACAGTAGTGTAATTAACCACATTAGGCCAATTTAAAAAAAACCTAAAACAGAAACATAATGGTGGTTTAATTACAGTATATGATAGCTTAAGGCAGCCAACAGCACAAACAGGGCAATACTTGAAATCATATTTCCAGTACAGTTGGCAATGAATGCAAAACTTGAATAAAACTGAAAAAGTGGGAAACCATCAGGTAAAGTCCACTGGTGACACCTCCCACTTTACATTCTTGCACCATTTCAAAACAGAACACATTGGTACATATCCTCCATAGTTTCCAGATGGCTAATTGACAGAAGGTAGAGTTACTCCCTAGCAATAAAAGTAAAATACCTTTGCAAAGGAAGGTTTCTTCTCTTCATAGGTAAAAAGACTTTTTGTACCTTCAATTTATTTACAAAAAAAAGAAAGAAAAGAATACATAAATAAAAATATATTGAAGGGCCCCTGATCACCTATTCTAGTAAATTATGTCTGTTATTGATACAGTTTCTGCATGTGCCCCACTATAATAAGGAGACAGAGTTAGCCCATCAATACCCATGTCCTGTGTTAACCCAGTCTTTTAAAGGAGCACTATAGGGTCAGGAACACAAACATGTATTCCTGACCCTATAGTGCTAAACCCACTATTTAGGTGGCTTGCTCCCCCTCTTAGCCCCCTATAAAAGTTTAAAACTCACCTTATCTCCAGAGCCACGGGGGTCCGCCGGTGCTAGCTCCGAACCCTTTGTGACATCAAAATGGCAGAGTTTTAGCCAACCCAATTCTTTTGGCGGGGCCAAATGCCGTTTTGGCCAATCAGGACCTCCTCATAGAGATGCATTGAATCAAGCGTGGGGACGATGAACGGCAGGGCTGCTTACTGTGCAGCCCTGAGCCAGGAAGCCCCTCCAGTGGCCATCTAAGGAGTGGCCACTTGGAGGTGTCCCTAGGGGCAATGTAAACACTGCCATTTCAGACAGTGATTACATGAAAATGCCTGAAGGGAGCTATTATACTCACCAGAACAACTACATTAAGCTGTAGTTGTACTGGTGACTATAGTGTCCCTTTACTGGTGATGTAAATAATTGAGAAGATAATATGAGATATTTACCTATCTAAGAAAACAGTTTCAGCCACAGAAAAAAGTAATTCAACTCGCATGCTCAATGGGCCCATGCACTTAGGTTGGGTGCAGTGGCCTTTTAACAGCACTACTGGGCTACTGTACTCTCAGCGATGCTGGAAGGAAATAAAAGCAGGTCAGTACCTCACACATGCAAAGAGAGTCGCGCAGGAGGGAGAGGAGGCACAGGAGTGAGGTGGAGCAAGGAGAGAGCCAGCTTCAGCCCCACACTCCTATCTGCCTCAGCCAGCAGCAGCAAGACCCCAAGGAAGCCACCCTGCTGCAACAAAATATATATTTGTTTGTGTGTATCTGTCAAGGTTTGTGTATCTGTGTCAAGGTATGTGTAGCTGTATTTAAAGGTGTGCTTGTGTCAGTAGGTGTACCTGTGTATATGTATCTGTGTCAAGGTGTGTGTATGTGTTAGTGAGTGTATTTTTGTGTCAAGGTGTGTGTATGTGTCACTCTGTGTATCTGAGTGTATGTATGTGTCAGTGCGTGTATCTGTGTGTCAGCGTGTGTGTATGTGTCAGTGTGAAACTGAATGCATGTGTGTATGTGTCAGTGTGTTTATATGTGTATTAATATCAGTGTAAATACATATATGGCAGTGTATATGTGTACATGCATACATCCCTGCAATTGAATACCAAAACAATATGCCAACACACCCCTGCAATCAAATACAAACATTACATACAAACACACCCTTTCATTCAAACCCAAAATTATAGGCAAACATATCCATTCATTCAACAACCAATACTGCACACAAATGTATTCGCCCATTTAAAAGCCAAAACGATATACAAACACACTTCTGCATTCAAATGCAAACACTACACACAAGTACACCACTGCATTCCAATGGCAACAGTACATACAAATACACCTCTACATACATACACATACTCTATACAAAAACATGCTTACATTCAAATGTACAAACACTGCTCACAAATACAACCCTGCAAGGATGGGCAAATGGTAAATCCCCAGCTGGCATAGCATTGTGTGAGTTCGACATTGATACAGAAATTCATTGAGATGATGTGATCTGGATGCCTTTAGTGTCCCTTTGAATATGTATATATTTTATATAAAATATAATTTCAAAATAGGGTAAAACCAGTGCATTTGTCATTAAATATGTGTTCCTACTGCCTTGTATGTAATTTCCTGTTCAGGTACTAAAATTGAACACAGGACAATAAACTAAATAAACTAAATAAACTAAATTGTCTGTTATAACATGATCAAATAATTACATCAAAGGTGAAGCATTACTGTCTTTAAATGTCACAGTTACAGCACCAGCATCCTTAATTTAAACATTAGAAACCCTTAAAAGGTAAAGCTAATGAAAGCTACAGAAACCTTTCCACCTCTGATTTTCCTAATAAAGTCATTGCATATGCTAGGATGCAGAAAGGTATTTAACAGTGCCGCCTCCAAGAAAAAGACTTATGGCTGGGATGGTTAAACAGAGACTGACTTGTTTGTAGGAGTGTAAAATAAAAATAGCACAACATATTACTATTTCTTTGATTACTGCTAAATATTTTTTTATAATAAAATAAATAAAAAATATAGGATTGTCAAATGTTTTTTAGTCCAAGGTCACTTATGTTTGATTTTACCTTGTTTTAATAACTACAAAGCACAGGCTGGTGAGGCTTTCAATTTGCATTACCTCTTGTCTGCCACTAGATTTGCTGCTTTAAAATTGCCTGTGCAATTGCATACTCCAACGTGGCTTTTTTAAACAAAATTAGGGGAGTGGATTGCTTTTAATGCACTGCAAATTATTTAGGTAATAATAACAAATTACCTAAGTAGGCCTCTCCAGGACATCTTCAGGTTCTGGTTCTTTAACCAGGAAGTGGTTGTGATATTTCAATCAATCTTAACTCTCAAATTTACTGTAGATAAATAAATGTTAAAGGGACACTATAGTCACCCAGACCACTTCAGCTCAATTAAAGGACCACTATAGGCACCCAGACCACTTCAGCTTACTGAAGTGGTCTGGGTGCCTGGTCCAGCTAGGTTTAACCCTTTTTTCTATAAACATAGCAGTTTCAGAGAAACTGCTATGTTTATATTAGGGTTAATACAGCCTCTAGTGGCTGTCTCATTGACAGCCACTAGAGGCGCTTGCGTGCTTCTCACTGTGTCTGACACACAGATACTCAAGCTGGCACAAGATGAGCTAAAACCAGCTTGAGTTCTGAGCAGGGACCCACCGAAGAGCAGGCTATTTCAACTGCAGTCCGTCCTCAGTGCACTCTTGCGACTTGTTTTTTGTTCTCCACAATTTTAAAGGGTAATCCAGACGTGGACCCCTTGCTCACAGTGCCTAGAGAGATATCAGCTATGCCTCACTGATGATGCCTAACAAGGTTGAAACGATCGTCCGGGGTTGCTGTATCTCTCGTGCAGAGGGAATTTGCTGGCATTTCGGATCTGGACTGCCCGTATGGGTGGGACCACTCTGATATGCTTCAGAGATGTTCTCTCTGTAATGGCACAAGATGAGCTAAAACCAGCTTGAGTTCTGAGCGGGGACCCACCGAAGGGCAGGCTATTTCAGCTGCTGTCCGTCCTCAATGCACTCTTGTGACTTGTTTTTTGCTGGGATTTGGCCCTAGGGGCGTAGTACCTCCGAGTATGAGATGGGTGTTGGCCTCGCGGGACCACTAACCTAAGGCGAAGAAGCCAGGGGGAATTACAACTAGTAGACACCTAGGACCCTGACAGCCAGCAACAGCTATTGTGTGATGACAGCGGGGGGGTGGGGGAAGAGGAACGTTGACCGACCGTAACTGGATGGCAGAGTGAGCCCGTCGGAGACCAGGTGGACAGGTTGCATGGAGTACACAAGGAAAACGGAGAATAGAAAGCATATACGCGTGTCTAGCCCACGGGCTCATAAGGGCTAGAATCATGTGCCCGGTAACAAAACATAGCATTCCTTCCGGCAAATAACGTAGCACAAGTAAGGTGGTCAGACGTGGCCCAGCCAAGCAAGGAAACGTAATTTGTAATCCCACCATACCGAGTCGTTTGCAAAATCAGAGCGAAGATAACCAAAGACTGAGACGTGCGTTGCCCCCCCCCCCTTTTTATTTTTTTTATTAGCAATTATACATTTAATTCAATTATTTATGTATAATGACAACAGAAATTGTGGGAAGAGAAACAAAATCATCCAACCTTGAATAGAACAGATATACTGTGAAAACTATGAAGGACTATGGCAGGTAGCCTCACAGTATAACTTGCCAGCATAACAGCATGCACCATGAGCAGTGAGCAGCATGTGGCGCCATAGAGAACAATTACGAGTCCCATAATCCTCAGCCAGCAATGGCGAGGAAATATGAGAAGAAAAAAAACAAACAGAAATGCGGTGTATGAGTAGCGTGCAGTAAGATGGTGCACACAATATCCCTGGCACAGATAATAGGCGGCCACCCTGTCCCACCTTGTGAAATACACGTGCAAAAACGGGTACCATTTAATAATGTAATGTTAATGGAAAACTAAACACCCATAAATAGCCCGACAGCCGATTTTAGAACATACCAATCCTCAGAAATTAGTCACGAAAATTACCAAACAAAAATGTATATCCCCCCCCTCTCTCCTAACTGCATGTTCCTACCATGAGATTAACGGTGTATACAGAGTGTCTGCCTGCACATGGATTGCCAGATCTACAGCATCCACACGGACCAAAGTAAAATGGGGAAATACAGAGGGACGTTCGCGGGAAAAACAGGCGAACGTCAGATACCCACGAACCCCAACACGAACCACGCAGGCAACGCGAACCAGGTGAGTAAGGAAAAAACTCCTGAACGGAGAGCACAACGCGTTCCGGAGATGTAACAGAAAGACTTGAGGAAACGAAAAAAACACACACGAAAAGGGGAGAATAGATCCAGACCGTTACGACGCCGTGGGACTGCGACCGTGGCGCGACAGTAGGGTAAGTAACTCACAACAGCAGAAAAGTAAAACAGGACGAACCAGCCGACCGGAGCAGACCCCAGAATGGACCGCATACGAACGAAAACAGCGGGGCAACAGTAGGCCAGGTAAGACGCACCACGAGGAACCTGGCAGGAAGAGATGGCGACCAGACATAGCGACATGCAAATCGCTAAAAATACATACGGGACGGAGGAAGGTGAGTAGGGGGTTTAAGTAGGGAACATGCCCCTCCCACAACTGCAGGCCAAGCCTTTACATTTGTTTGAATAAAGGATTGATAAATGTAAGTTAAAGCTATTGTAGTGTGCATTCTGATTTCTTGCATTTATTGCATAAACTGAAGCGAGACACCATCTTCAGTAACTGCAGCATTACATATGAAAAAGGACAGTTACTTCCCCTGGCCAAGTCCGGGCCCGCCCCCTTTCTGTGATGTCACTCAGGCTCTTATTACATCTCCTTCCTCCCCCCCCCACTTTTTATAATTCTTTATTTTTGTAGTGCATAGTTTACCAAGTATGTTGGTACAACCATTTCACAGAGTATACTCGTCAATGCTTCATAAAATCAGGCATGGTAGGAAATAACGAAAACACTGCACTTTTTATATTAAAAGGTAAGAGAGACAGCAGAAACATAGCTCCACTAGTGGAAACAAAGTTAACATGTTCTTAGCTTTTTTTTTTCATGATCGCTTCCAGCAGCTCTAATGGTATTACAGCGATGCCTCAGTGTTGAGGCATCGCTGTAATAACCCCCTCACTGCCGGGGACCACCGGAGATTACCGGGTGATCGCTCCCCCCGGAGCAATCACTTCTGGGTTGCTCCACGTGCAGCCCGGCAGTTAGACAAAAAAAAATTAACCCCCTCCTACCATCCCTCCCACTCCCTCTCCCATGTACTTACCGATCGTCGCGTTCACCCGTCGGCGATCGGTCTTCTTCTTTGGGGAGACTCTCTGGACTGAGCCCAGAGAGTCCCCCCTCTCCAATTTAGGACCCGCAGGGGACATGTGACTGGTCACATGGCCCCCATAGGTGTCCACAGTACTGCCAGCAGGGGGACTGCCTGCTGGTTGAAAAGTAAAAATAAAGTTAAATAAAGTTAAAAAAATAAAATAAATAAAAGATAATAAATAAATTTAAAAAAAATATATGTATATATGACATATAGATATATACATATATTATATCTCTATATATAGCTTATATATAACATCATATTAGGTGTATTTTTTTAGTAATATATACAAATATTAATATAAAAATACATTTAGAGTAAAATTACACACGTATATATATATATATATATATATATATATATATATATATAAAACATATATAACTATATATTATGTATATATATTATAAAAATAAATAATACTAAATAAATATATTATATTTATATCTATGTATATACCCTTAACGACCGTAGACGTACGAAAAAAAAACAAAAAACGGTCATTATGGACCGCTGACGTACTTAGTACAACCGCGGCAAATAGGAGCCCTAGACTTACCTGGACCGGCGATCGGCGGCGATCACGGTCAGGGGGGACTGCCGGAGACCCCTGCAGCAGCTCCGGCCCTCCAGGGCCATGTGATCACCAAGATCACATCTCCGCAATAGGAGTCTAGGAGCTGCCAGCAGGGGGACTGTCTGAGCTGTCAGACAGTCCCCCAGGCTGCTAATAAGTAAAATAAAATATGTATATATATATATATATATACATATATATATATTATACATATATTATGCATATATATGATTTCATTATAAGTGTACTTTGAGATATATACACATATATTTCAAAATACACTTATAATGAAATCATATATATGTATAATATATTATATGTGTGTGTGTGTGTATATATATATATATTTGTTGTGTGTTCGGTGCAATGATTGTAATGTTAGCATGTACAGCGTGTACAGTGTGTTGATGTACCATGTATATATGAGCAAGTCGGTTGAAGTGTTCCAAAATAAATATATTTTTTATGTTTGTGTGTGTGTGTATGTGCTTACATATGTATGTACACACACACGTAATATATATATATATATATATATATATATATATATATATAATATAATATAAATTGAATTTTAAAAACAAATAAAAATGCTAAATTTTGCAAGCATTTGTGACTAAGTAGCTACTACAAAAGACTGGAAATACCCATTTGGAATACCCTGGGTTGTCTACATTTGAAAATGGTATGCCATGATGGGGTTATTTCACATTCCTGGGCTACCATATGGTCTCAAAAGGCAACACAGACCCAGCAAACCAATATGGCAAACTGAATTGGGCAAGCCCTTTATTGACCCTGTACCTTTACAAACCACCATAAAACCTGTACATGGGGGGTATTGTTATACTCGGGAGACTTCGCTGAACACATATTTGAGTATTTACAACAGTAAAACGTGTCACGACGATGAAATCACCTGTAAAGGTGCAGTTTTTGTGTAAAAAAATGCAAAAAAACATTAAAAACCCTAACTTTGGCCAGCTTTTGTGACTAAGTGGCTACTACAAGAGACTGGAAATACCCCATTTGGAATACCCTGGGTTGTCTATATTTGAAAATGGTATGCCATGATGGGGTTAATTTTAATTCCTGGGCTGCTATATGGTCTCAAAGGCAACAGAGGCCCAGCAAACCAATCTGGCAAATTTCAATATGCAAACATGGAAAGGGGGAAAGCCCTACATTTGACCCCTGTAAGTTTGAAAAAGCCCATAAAAACTGTACATTGAGGGCACTGTTGTACTCGGGAGATGTTGCTGAACACATATTGGGGGTTTCTTTGTCAGTAACACATAAATGGAACTAAAAATCCATGCCTAAAGTACAATGTGAGAGAAAAATAACAAAAAAAACGACTATCCAAAAGTTTGACAAAGGCTGGTAGTAGAATTAGTGCATGGAAAATGTTAAAAAACCACCATTTGAAATACCCTAGGGTGTCTACTTTTCAAAAATATATGGTTTGATGAGGGTAAATTATATTGTCTGGCTTCAAAAATGTCCCAAATGGTACATGGGTGCATGATGACGAACTGTGAAAATTCCAAATTGGAAAACTTTAATGCGCACCCTCCAAATAAGGACTTTTAGTCCCCAGAGAATCCGACACACCTATACATGGGTGGTATCGCTGTACTCAGGAGATGTTGCTGAACACATATTGGGGTGTTCTTTGGCAGTAACACCTAACAGGTGCTGAGAATCCATGCCTAAATTAGAACAAGTGTGAAAAATAACACACAAAAATAACTACCCAAATGTTTGACAGAGACTGGTGGTAGAATTAGTGCATGGAAAGTGTTAAAATACCACAATTTGAAATACCTTTGGGTGTCTACTTTTCAAAAATATATGGTTTGATGGGGGTAACCCTTAAAGTTCTCAGTACATATATTCTTAAATTTCTCAAAAAATTCACCAATTATTTTTTTTTTCAAAAGATTCAAAATACCCCAGGTTTAATACCTTAGGTTGTCTTCTTTTAAAAAAGATTTACATGTGAAGGGTTATTCAGGGATTCTTGACAGATATCAGTGTTACAATGTAACTTGCGTTAATTTGAAAAAAATTGGTTTGGAAATAGCAAAGTGCTACTTGTGCTTATAGCCCTATAACTTTTCCAAAAAAAGAACATGCTAACATTGGGCATTTCTAAACTCAGGACAAAATTTTGAAACTATTTAGCAGGGGTGTTTTTTGGCAGTTGTAGATGCGTAACAGATTCTGGGGGTCAAAGTTCGAAAAAGTGTGTTTTTTTCAATTTTTTCATCATATTTTATAAAAAATGTTATTGTAAATTATATGATATGATGAAAATAATGGTATTTTTAGAAAGTCCATTAAATGGCGAGAAAAACTGTATATAATATGTGTGGGTACAGTAAATGAGTAACAGGGAAAATTACAGCTAAACACAAACACCGCAGAAATGTAAAAAGAGCCCTGGTCCCAACGGTAAGAAAATTGAAAAACTGCCTGGTCACTAAGGGGTTAATGGACTCTGATTTGCAAACCACCTCAAAATTGCCAATTCGGGTGTACTTCCTGCACCTCTTGCCTTTAGCAGGGCATAACAGCTTTGTTACCATGAGTACGGTACAGATTATAAATTCATATTCAATACAGGCTCCACATCTTACCTCATAGAATATAAAATAGATTTAACTTGCACTTCACCACTCTCCTTATCCAGCTTGGATGCAATCCTGAAGCATACAAACAACCGGCTCCAGGTAGGCCATGCTGCAGGCTGAGAAAAATCAAATAGCCTTGGTGGAGTGAACATAGACATCTTCACAGATTAACAAACAGATGCACAAGTTAGTACTTCTGGTGCCATGTCATGAAATGCATATAACACGGTGAACTGGTTTCAACATGTCTTCATTACAGAGTTTAACTTGAGGCCGGACACCATCTTCAGCAATAGGCATTACATTTGAAAAATTACATTTAGTCCTGGCATTAATGCAGGTGTTACTCTGACACGTTCTGCCTACATTGAAATTGTTGCAGAACATGTACAATCCATCATGGCAATGGTGTTTCCTGACGTCAGTGGCCTTTTTTCAGCAGGATAATGTACCCTGCAACACTGCAAAAATAGTTTAGGAATGGTTTGAGGAACGAGTTCAAGCTGTTGCCTTGGCCTCCAAAATCCCCAAATCTCAATCCAATTAAGCATCTGTGTGATTTGCTGGGACAACAAATCTGATCCATGGATGCCCCACCTTACAACTTACAAGACCTAAATGATCTGCTGCTAATGCCTTAGTGGCAGATACCACAGGAAAGGTTCATATTTCTTGTGGAGTTTATGCATTGACACATCAGAGCTGTTATGGCAACATGAAGGGGACCTACATGTCAGTAGGCAGGTGGTTTTAATGTTGATGCTGATCAGTGTAGTTAATAGGGGTCCATGGTCATATTGAAAAAGTAGACAACATTTCTTAATTCATAATACATTGTCTCAATGTAGAAATCTTTGTAATGTATTTCTTGATATGTAAACCTTATATGCTTGATATATGCATGCTCTTAGCCACCTCTAAAGGTTAATTAGTTGTGTGCTTTATCAGCCATTTTGGAATATTAAAAATAATACAGTGCATTTGTGAAATAGCTGTAAAATCAAAATTACTTAACAAAAACCAAGGTGCTGATAACAGTTATGGTGTGCTCTTCCATTTACAATTAAGCCCATATGTAACAAGTGGCCATATTGTTTTTATGACTAACGATGCATAATCTCCCATATTTTTTAAAAATGCAAATCTTTGTAAAAAAATGTTTTTACATGCAGTATCTATGCATGTGCTGCATCTGTATTCTTATGCTTGGTCACCTCTTCTGGGTAATCAGTAATGTGGTTTGGCAGCCATTCTTTAATTGTTGCAAATATGTAAATTAACTACTTAAATGGCAAAAAAACCAAAAAAAAACCAGCATAATAGAAGCTCTTTTGCCATGGTAAATATAAACAGTTTGCTTTGCCATCTTAATTTTGGATCCCATGTGCTATGTGGTCTGAATTGTATGATTAGTTTTGAAAATTCTTTCAATAAGTTTATAAAATACATAACTTTGTCAAAATGTAGAGGTCTACTGTGAAAGCAAACATCTGTAATTTACTTCTCTATAAGCAAGCTTTACACACATGCTATAGCCATGCACTTATGATTAGCCACCTTTGCTGTTTAATTAGCAACATGGCTTGATAGCAATTTTAAAATTTCACAAATGTGTAAAAGCAATATGCTCGTTGCTATTTACCAGAGTATCTGAAGACACTTGCGCTAAAACGTTTGAGTTACTGCAGCACTGGTGGGCGGTAAGGACATTTTACCATCAAGAAAGATGCATTAGTGGGCGATGGGTATAAAAAAAGGTTGACTACCCCTGCTTTAGAGAGAGTTCAGAGAAGGGCTGCTAAACTAAACTGGTTCATTAATTGCAGGATAAAACTTACAATGAAAAGTTAAAGGAACCTAACATGTATAGCTTGGAGGAAAGATGAGACAGGGGTATATGATAGAAACATTTAAATACATAAAGGGAATCAACACAGTAAAGGAGGAAACTATATTTAAAAGAAGAAAAACTAGGACATAGGAAGTATTACTTTACAGAGAGGGTAGTGGATTCACTCACTTTACAGAGAGGGTAGTGGTATGTCTTTTTGCTGATGATACTAAGATATGTAACAGGGTTGATGTTCCAGGAGGGATAAGCCAAATGGCAAATGATTTATGTAAACTAGAAAAATTGTCAGAATTGTGGCAACTGACATTTAATGTGGATAAGTGCAAGATAACGCATCTTGGATGTAAAAACCCAAGGGCAGAGTACAGAATATTTGATAGAGTCCTAACCTCAACATATGAGGAAAGGGATTTAGGGGTGATTATTTCTGATGACTTAAAGGTAGGCAGACAATGTAATAGAGCAGCAGGAAATGCTAGCAGAATGCTTGGTTGTATAGGGAGAGGTATTAGCAGTAGAAAGAGGGAAGTGCTCATGCCATTGTACAGAAAACTGGTGAGACCTCACTTGGAGTATTGTACACAGTAATGGAGACCGTATCTTCAGAAGGATATTGATCCTTAGAAAGGGTTTAGAGAAGGGCTACTAAACTGGTTCATGGATTATGGGATAAAACTTACCAGGAAAGGTTAAAGGATCTTAACATGTATAGCTTGGAGGAAAGACGAGACAGGGGGGATATGATAGAAACATTTAAATACATAAAGAGAATCAACACAGTAAAGCAGGAGACTATATTTAAAAGAAGAAAAACTACCACAACAAGAGGACATAGTCTTAAATTAGAGGGACAAAGGTTTAAAAATAATATCAGGAAGTATTACTTTACTGAGAGGGCAGTGGATGCATGGAATAGCCTTCCAGCTGAAGTGGTAGAGGTTAACACAGTAAATGAGTTTAAGCATGCGTAGGATAGGCATAAGGCTATCCTAACTATAAGATAATGCTAGGGACTAATGAAAGTATTTAGAAAATTGGGCAGACTAGATGGGCCGAATGGTTCTTATCTGCCGTCACATTCTATGTTTCTATGTTTCATGGAATAGCCTTCCGGCTGAAATGGTAGAGGTTAACACAGTGAGGGAGTTTAAGCATGTGTGGGATAGGCATAGGGCTATCCTAGACTTAAGATAAGGCCAGGGACTAATTAAAAGTATTTCGATAATTGGGCAGACTAGATGGGCCGAATGGTTCTTATCTGGCGTCACATTCTATGTTTCTATTTAAGAACCAATCAAAACCATTTTTGTTTTCATTTGTATTAATACGTTAATCAAAATAAAAGTTTGATATTTTTCAGAGTACAGTGTTCCTGAGATAGGAAGCACACAGTATGTGAGCAGCCACACTTGAGTCAGTTCTAAACCTAGAGCATGTACGCCTTATGCAAAAATATATGTGCAACGCCTTGCCACATCCCAATGCTTCCTCTCACTTTATCACAGTTTCCCTCCATCATGCTTCCTCTCACTTTATCACAGTTTCCCTCCATCATGCTTCCTCTCACTTTATCACAGTTTCCCTCCATCTTGCTTTAAAATACATGAACCTTGGTTCCTAGTGCTGCAGTGGGCAGTTGAGTTTTTTGTACATGTCGTTTGTGCAATAAACATTTTGTGCGTAACATAGGATGCAGCAGCACAGGTTTATGACATTATGTCAAAGATCTGTGACCTTTGACATTCAGTCACACTGAAAAATACAGGAGGACCACCTTTTGCAGTCATTAGACCACTTGAGAAGCTCCATGTGTCCCTTTAATGGCACTATAGTACTGCTTGCTTAGAATATATAGATCATGTACTGCAGGTGCCGTAAAAATGCGATGCCAAGTACAGGGCACATGCCCTTGCCTAAGGTCTCTAGTGGCACCCAGTACTTCACAAAATGTAAGTGTGTTGCATCACATTTCCTGTATATTTAATCTCAATTACCGAATGGCATAGCAGGAAGCTGCATGGTATGGTTTGTTGTCCTTTGTGTAAAACTGCTAAGAAAGTAAGAATCCCTGCACAGTGAGGGGGATTTTTTTTCAAAAAAACTCAAAGATACAACCACCCCCCCACCCCCCATGTGTCTGTTTCTTTAAATACTGTATCAGCCCCTATAAAAATAATTGGTGCTTTATAAAAAAAAAAATATATATATTATTATGTTTATTAATAATATATACATGTACAATAATCAGTGAACACAACACAGATGGACAACTACTAGCCTGACAGCCGGGCAAGCAGCAAGAACTTGGTCAGTCAGGATGCCTATTTTTTTCTATAGCAACACTGCAGGGAAATGACAGTGTGATACAGAATCTATGAACAGTTTTTACATGTCTTCACCTATCTACAGACATGCACCTGAGGGGTGGTACAGGACAGAGCAGTTGGAATATATATAAAAAACAACACTGCATCAGCTCCCATTGCCACTTGAATAGTATGTTCTATGTGCCCCAGGACTGCATAAGCAGCCAGGTCATTTGCATTTTACAGGGGGAGCTTGAAAGGAAGCTAGGGAATGCAGCACATACTGGTGGGGAGAATGAAAGAGACAGAGCTATGCACAGACTTCTCCAGGCATCAACACAAGAGGAACCCAATCATGTAACCCCTGACTCTGCAGACCTCTATGCTGCTCTTGTGTCTATCATGGACCATGGTACGTGAGTTTGATCTACTAACCTATATAATGCAGTGTGTGATCTGAGGCTATCTGGAGGATCTGCATCATGACTGCAGCAGATATTCTGTGGGAGGAAGAAAATAAGCACAGATCTGAATCGACTGTACTTTCAGCAGAAGCATTGGGGTATGTCATGGGGGGGCGAGAGGGGAGGAGGTGATCTGGCACTGGCTGGTGGGAAAACTGGCTAGTGTATTTGCATTAAGTGGGCAGTATGCTTGAGATTGGCATAGGGCAAGTGGTGAAGGGTTCTGGATGGCTTGCCCGTACTGAGGACAAGCACTGGCAACGGTTATATTTAAAGGAGGTGGATACAAATGATTTGCAGCTCTTTGGAAGCATAGTGATATGGGATGCGTGCTTAGAATTTGGAGGTGAGGGGTGCACTTTACAATTTGGAATGTGGGGAGTGCTTGCATTCTAAGGTCTAGAACACAGCTGGGCAGATTCGGGAGGTGGGGGCAGTGGAGGTGAGCATCAGAATTTAAGTGGTAAGGGTGAGTTGTGTTTGGATTAGTGGGAAACTGATATAGAAAGATGGGGTGAGCTTTGACACAGAGTGGTGAGTGATCACAATGGGGGGGGGGGGGGAGTGGGCTCTGACATTTAGAGGTGGTACTTCCATACATGCAAGGGGAGTAACGGTGACATTGTAGTTCAGGACATACCTCTGCATCTTTTGGGCTGAGACCCTCTGTATGTTATGGATAGAGATGAGTGACACCTGGTTAGCTAGAGTACTCTCTGGCCTGCACTCTATGCACGTGCCCCGGGCTTTGTGTATACACGTGAAGCAGCCTCTGCACCCCCACATGTGCCAGCATGCTGTCCACATCACATGTTGGAGGTGATCATGGCTAATAGATCATGACTGAAGAGAGCTGCTTCTATGGCATGCCGTCTGCATTGCGTCTCAGTGTTAAATCCCATAGACAGCCGCTGCTGTACAGAGTACCCCCTCCTCAGCATTTTTTTTTAAAAGAGCCTTTAGATGTTATGTTTTGAATGGCTGGACTGGTGATGCCCAGAGAGGATCGGCTTCTGTCTGCACCAAGCAGGAGCTCTCAGGTTTCTGCTGATACTGCAACGTCAATAAATGGTGAGAGTTTGCCGCTCATCTCGATGCATTTAGACTTCCCAATGCCATACTCATTACTGCTATAGAGGGGGGAGGGGTGTGTTCTGCTCCTGTGATGCAGCTGGTCTGCAGTTCCCTGGAATTGGGCTCATGTATATCTCCACTTTCTGTATTTTCACTGGTGAAGCATCACAAGAAAAGGATTAAACCGATTTATTTTTTGGAGGATTCCATGGACCCTAATGTGGCAAGCAACTGATTAACTAGAATTGCTTCCAATGCAGCGTTTTACCCCCATGGTGTATGCGTTATGAATATTTCAACAGGACGTGTATTTACTGTGCTGTAAACCGATTTATATATTAAAGGGTCGCAGGAGGGAGTTCTGCATGCACCTTCCCCAGGCTGCAAGGCTTCAAGTATTCCCAGCCTGCTATTTCCTCGCATCTTGCAGCACCCAGGCAAGGTAAGGATTGCACTGGCATTGCCCCCCTCCCTTTCCTCTGCATCTCATGCACTGCAGCAAAGTGATTTGTCTGGTGTGTTTTTGTACTGAACTTAACTAAAGTACATTTTGTTGGAATGTTCTGCTATGTTTAATCTATAGAAAACTTGATACTGAGTAAGCACCTTTAAAAAAAAGTGTATGCCATGCAGGTTGAGTGATCTTATGAAGATAAGGTGTTATTTTTATTTTTTTTATTCCTTTTCTTGTACTTTTTTTTTTATATCCCTGCAGCATACATCTACTGCACTGGCGTGATCTTCTGGTTTACCTAGCATTGAAAACAAACAGGAGCGGAAGGCAGGAGGGAATCTGCTGACTTGGCAAAGCCCACAGCTTCCATATCCTACAAGCTTTTCATGTTTGGTGACTATGACAGCGGGCCAGCAATGCTATTTTCATGTAGTAGAACTGCCTTGCGTTAATAAAGGATAGTGGGACTAAGGTTTCTTTTGTTTTGTTGCAAGATTTTTACAAGAAGAGGGGGATCGATATCTCTCTCTTTCTCTCTATCTCAGAAGAGATCTGAAGAACCATTCCCTTTGATTCACGGATCTACTATTGGGATCATCCTATAAAGAGATATAACAATAAAGGGTTGAAGGAGGGTGCTGCAACAGCAAAGTGATTACCTCTAGCAGCCCCTCCTCCCCCATCCCTCCTCCCTCTCCACCGGAAAAATGACCGTGATAGCCGGGGATAACATGGACGAGACCTCAGCCCTGCCCGGCCATCCTCAGGACAGCTACCAGCCAGACCATGATGATCATGAGTGCTGTGAGAGGGTGGTCATAAATGTGGCAGGGTTGCGCTTTGAGACCCAGCTAAAAACTTTGTCTCAGTTTCCCAACACTCTTCTGGGTAACCCCAAAAAAAGAATGCGCTATTTTGATCCCCTTAGGAATGAGTATTTTTTTGATCGTAACCGCCCCAGCTTTGATGCCATATTATATTACTACCAGTCTGGGGGAAGGCTACGGAGACCAGTCAATGTGCCTCTGGATATGTTTTCAGAGGAAATAAAGTTCTATGAACTTGGGGAAGAAGCCATGGAGAAATTTCGTGAAGACGAGGGCTTTATAAAAGAGGAGGAGCGCCCGTTGCCAGAACGAGAGTTTCAACGCCAGGTGTGGCTTTTATTTGAGTATCCAGAGAGCTCAGGGCCAGCCAGAATCATTGCCATAGTCTCAGTCATGGTGATCCTCATCTCTATTGTTATTTTCTGCTTGGAGACTTTGCCAGAACTGAAAGAAGATCGTATTTTCACCCGCAAAATGGGGAACAATACAGTACATTTCAAATCTCACATCTTCACAGATCCATTTTTTGTGGTGGAGACCCTCTGCATAATATGGTTCTCCTTTGAGTTGGTGGTAAGGTTCTTCTCTTGTCCCAGCAAACCAGAATTCTTCAAGAACATCATGAACTTCATTGACATAGTGGCCATCATCCCTTATTTTATCACATTGGGGACTGAAATAGCTGAGCAAGAAGGTCCCCAAAAAGGGGAACAGGCAACATCTTTGGCTATCCTGCGAGTCATCAGACTGGTAAGAGTCTTTAGAATCTTCAAACTCTCCAGACATTCTAAGGGCCTTCAAATATTGGGACAGACCTTGAAAGCTAGCATGAGAGAACTAGGGTTGCTAATTTTTTTTCTGTTTATTGGGGTCATCTTGTTCTCTAGTGCAGTTTACTTTGCTGAAGCTGAAGAGGATGACTCTCATTTTTCAAGTATACCTGATGCTTTCTGGTGGGCGGTGGTATCTATGACCACTGTGGGTTATGGTGACATGTACCCTGTGACAATTGGAGGCAAAATTGTGGGCTCCTTGTGTGCCATCGCTGGTGTGCTGACAATTGCCCTGCCCGTACCTGTCATTGTGTCCAACTTCAACTACTTTTACCACCGAGAAACTGAAGGGGAGGAACAGGCTCAGTTACTTCATGTTAGCTCCCCCAATTTAGCCTCTGACAGTGACCTGAGTCGACGCAGCTCTTCAACAATGAGCAAATCTGAATACATGGAAATTGAAGAGGATCTGCATAATAGTATAGATAATTTTAGAGAGTCAAATCTCAGAACTGGCAACTGCACCGTAGCAAATCAGAACTGTGTTAACAAAAGCAAACTGCTGACAGATGTGTAGAGCACACCCCTGCTGCAGGATATCATTGGCTCAGCCACTTTCTGTAGACGCTTTAAAACTATAGTCTTTGAATGCTTTATCTGTCATCGTTAATGCATTTTTGCATTGCGAATTTATGCTCAGCGAACAAGAAGCTTTCAGGATCCGTGAAAGATAATATTATCATTTATTTTTAAATGGGATTATTATTTTTTTTCTTTTTAACTGGTCAGAGGGAAGTATTCCCAAACCAGTTGTATTAGTTAGCAATTAAATGATAGGAAAAAAAAAAAACTTAAAAAAAAAAAAAAAACACAACAATTTCATTCCCTTTGCTTGTTAATCTTAAATTCCAACAAACCATAACTGAGAGTTAACAGATATGCATGGATTTTCAGTAGCTTTCTCTGCCAACTGCACAATGCATCCAAGGATGTGCATCTGTATCAAAGGGTTAAAATGATGTATGCAAACATTTGCTCTCTTTTTTTTTTTTTTCTGGAGAAGTGTATTTCCTATCCAATGAAATGATTATGCACTTACTGGTGACCTACAGATCCATAAAGCACCTTATATGAACTTATGCTTTATAAATAAAGTAGAGCAACTAATACATTAAATGGTTTAAAAAAGGAAAAAAAATGGACAAACATCTGCAATTGCTGCTAGAATTTAATTTTTTAAATGCAGATGGTTTCAAACTTTTTCTTTCTTGATTTTTGGGTTTTTTGGTTTTTCAACGTGGATGCAAAAGCTTTTTTCGCTCCATGTTTGCGATAACAGCACAATGGAGTTTATCATATCGCATGTTTTGTTTTTTTGGTTTTTTTTTCAATTTGATACCTACTGTATTATTTGGTGACCTTGCATGCCTGAAATGTTACCTCAAACAATAGGGGGATAGGTTTTCTTTTAAACTTTTTAACCCTTTCTGGTGCCGGAGAGGACAACTATACAGTGCAGAGCAAAGTGTTGCCACCAACTGTGGCAATAAATATAAAAAGGCTAAAAATAGGTCATAATTTTAATTTAATGTTATTTATTATTGTTATTTTGCATTCACCAAAAGTGCACTCCTAATTTTTGAACTCTTTAATTAGTAATTTACAGTACTGTATGTAAATGCATATGTTAGTCAAATGGGGACAATAACTTATTGGCGAACAAGCATGTTCAGATATTCAGCATTATGGCCTATTTGACTAAGGTTTAATTAAAATTAATTAATGCATGATTTTAGTATAAAAAAAAAAAGATCTTATTGGATTAGGAGCCAGAATAAAGTAAAGGGCCTACTGATTTTCCTGCAGTGTTACTCAGGGAAATATGTTATCTTCCTATCAGGCATAATTGTAGAGATTATATGCATAAGGAACTATGTGGCTTTTAAAGAAAAAAGTCAGTATGAACACAGTATGAGGCGATGCCTAAGATTAAAAATGGCGTAGGTTTACAGAGTACAGTACAAATGCATGCCTATAGCTGCAGTCTCAGAATGTAATTTACACTTTAACTATATGCATCGAAAAACTGCAGACCATCTCCTTAGCTAACATTATTTGAGGTCCATGGACTTTTATACTCCTCTAGAATTTGCTAAAGAAAATCTAGAGAACAAGGATGATCTAGATAGTTGCTAGTGCCTTTATCCTTTCTTCACTGATTCGCTGAAAGTGCCTCCTAAAATGGAAGGGGACTTTGCTGTGGTCTGAGCAGGTGTTACCTGTCTCATAACCAATTTTGAATCTCTAGGGGTGCTTATGGTGTCCCATACTATCCAAATATTCAAATTCTATGATGTGCAGAATTAAAAAGCAGATTTACCTTGGATGTGTATAATCATGTAAGAGGATTTGCATTAATAATGTTTTTATTTCTCTAGCAAAAAAAAACAACCAGTTTTTTTTTTTTTTTAAATCACCAAGGGGACATTGAATTTCACACGCTCCAAAGAAAAGTTTGCACTTAATAGATGATACCCTTAATTCTTTTGCCATTTGAGCTTCTGTTCTGTTTCAACTTTCTGCTACATATACCAAGAAATGCTAAAATGTATGCAATGCTGCAAATTTTATTTATTTATACATACACCTGATCAAGATGAAAAGAGACTTTTTTTTGTACGTGGAAAAGTCGACTCAGGACGATGTCTTCCTGCATAAGGTGGAGGAGCTATAAGTGGCACATTTAAGGCTTTATCCCCACTGGCTTTCACTACATTATGTCCCAAATCATCATAGAATCTAGAAAAGCATGCATAGCATCAATCAACTTAATCAGGGAATGTAAAAGCAGAAGGGATCCAAGTCGTTCTTCATTAATCCAGCTTTAAAATCCGATTGTAGGTTTAGCTAGGTACAATAAAAATATAAATGAAAGAACTTTTGACCTGGTTATAGAGACTATTTCTTCTAAAGGGTTATGCTTTATATAAATAGAACTATGCCATGCACAAATGGTGCCTAGTCTGAACTAATGCTCAGATCAGTAGACTGAAGGTTTATTAGGAATGATCCTGTGAAAGTAGATTTCGATAATACACATCAGTATTCAGATTTGAAGAATTTGTATAACATTAAGGCAGGCACTTAAAATAAAAGCATCATCTATTATCACCACCCTGAACCCCAGTGTTTCAAAACGAGGGGGCAACTTTTCTAGTTTGAGTGTTTTTTTTTTTGTTGTTCTTTGGATGAAATGAACAAACGTACAAGAAAGGATTGACATGTTTCCAATAAGTAAAGGTGCATTGCAAATGGTAACAGGGCATTAAGATTCTACGTTTAATATGTCATGTGGAAACGATTTCCATAAATTCTGTTTTTCTTACATGCTACCCAACTAAGGTAGGAGACAACTTTTTCATGTTTCACTGACTTTGAGACTGCTCTCTCAGTAAAACGGCAATAAGCTATTCAATGCTGTAACGCTGATAAGGTGAATTTTTGTGGCATCTGTCAAACGAGGCTCACTTGGCAACCAACTTAGTTGATAGGAATTTGGGGTTTCCAAAATTAGATTATCCAGTGGACTAAATCTTCTGCATGTGTAAAAAATAAACAAAAAAAGAAAAAAGAAAAAAAAAAAAGAAAAACAAAAGTACTGCATGAACTGAATTTTTGGATAGGGGTTGGGAGACTTCATTTGGATCAGTCAGGGGGAGCGTAAATGATGCTTTTCTCATTGCAGAGCAAAAAATGTACAACCCCATGTTGTGGAATGGAAGGAGTAAGTCGTGTAGCATAGGCATGCATATCTGGACGTTTGACAAATCTTTCCCCCTTTTCACTAAATGTGCTCAAATGTCTTTGTAGACCTGAAGGTGCACTTGATAATTGCTTGTTATTAAGAAAAATAAATAAATATGATATTTTTTACATTTTGCTTACTTCTCAATTTGTTCTATGGTCGGCATGAGTTACATGAATGTGTTAAGTAACAATGTCCTCAAAAACACATTACAGCACCTGGAAAAGGAATGTATTGAAAGTTAATTTTTGTAATTTCTTTCTAATCTGTTTTTTAGGGGTAGCTCATGGTGTCTTTTAATATATTAAACAATGTTTGTTTGAATCTCCATGGGTCATGTCTGCTTAGCTGCTTTCTGTTGTACGATGGCTTGTCTGTTGTAGATTTACCAAATTGGTGTTCTCTGGCCAGATGTCTTGCTTTAAGTGACCTGCTGGACTACAGCTCACATCAATTTCAGGCAGATATTGGACTGATGAAGTTGATTTTAGTTGTACTCCAGGGGTACATAGAAAAGGGCAGAGCACCTCACAAGAAGGCTGCTTACTTAAGAGAGAATTCAAAGTGAATTCAATGGGAAATTCACATTTAAGGCCAGAGTAACCAAACTTGCAGCATAGCAGATTTTTCCCCCAGACTGGCTGTTTTGACCTTAAATTTGAAATTCACTTTGAATCATCACTTTAGTGAATAACCCTGTCATGCCTTAAAGGAACATTCCAATAAAAAAAACATTTTTTTTAAAGAATTTAGTGGATATATCCACAATAAAAAAAATGCACACAATTATTCCTGTCTGCAGCCTTTGCAACCCCTCCCCTTTTCATCCAGCGCAGACTTTCTATGGCTGTAAAATCGAATGCTTCTCAATGTAGCTCAATGAAAAGTCTTTGCAAGGCAAGTGCTCTGGGCTACTGCCTGTGTCTTGAGTTTAGATCCTGGGGGGGAGAGGGGGAACAAGGTTAAATTTTAAATGTGCCAATTACCGTTGAAATCTGCACTATTTGTAAAATGAAAAACAATTACACACTCTTCACACATACATCGCTTTAGCAAACTAAAGGTCTTTAGGTGTTTGTATTGCTCCTTTAAGCAGTGGTGTGTCAGTCAAAGAATCATCTAATTGTTCTCAAACAGAGGTAATTAAGCTCTCCTTTTGGGTCATTATGAGACTGTTGAGCCCCTTAAGGATGTGAGCCAAAAGAAAATGTAGAATTTGTGCTAGGTGATTGCTGTACTGTTGTTTAATGTGCTATTTTTTTTATTTTTTTTTAAAGTGCACCTGTACGTACTAACCCTATTTCTAACCTTATAGTTATACTAAAACTACCCGTACACCTACCCTAACACTACCCCTAATCTTAACTGTGCACTAACCTTAACCCAGCAGTAACTCTTACCTGCACTGACCCTAATCCGTGGGAATGCACCTTCAGCGTTAAAGATTTTAAGGACTACATCTCCCCTGATGCTTTGCCAGCATTATGGCTGTTAGAGCATTTTGGGAGATGTAGACCACAACATCGGAAGTGCCAAAGGTTGCCTACCCTAGCCCTAACCATTCATTAACACTAACCCTAATGGTAACCCTGACATCAGCAGAAGGATCTTCCAGCTCACACAGACTGTTTTGTGAGTGCCCTGTACTATATGACTGGAACATGGGAGGGAGATGTTTCTCTATCGCTGTAGCTCTTGCCTGCTGTCCATGCCGATCATACAGTGAACGATGCTGGGCAGCTGATGTAGCCCAGCGCCTATCAGTGTCTTTA